AGAGCCCCCCACGGGGTCTGTCAGAGGACAATCTCCAACCCCATCCTGTGTCTCTTACTATGCTTCTCCTTGGAACACCCTTTCCATAAACCTTACAAGAACCCCCATCTCAGGCTCTGTTTCTAGACACCCTGCTCTGCTCTCTCCCCACAATGAGCCACAGACTAAGAGTCTGGCTTACTCACCAGGCTCCTGGCTCAGAATGAACCTTAATCACTAGACTCAATCCATTTCACCCACAGTTTTGCAGTGGACAGGGGAGGAGAGGTCCAGTGCTTGACTCCAACAGGGCAGGCCCCATGGTGTGAAGAACTCAAGAAAAATAAACTTCTTCCAGGCTGGGCCGGGGCTTGGAGGCCAAGGGAGTGCTCAGGAAGGGAGGCTTCAGATCTGGTCAGTGTGTGGGGCCCACCAGCCGAGCGAGGCCCTCCCCTTCCCGCCTCCCTGCTCCAGGCCTGTTTGAAGTCTGTGAGTTGCCTGGGCTGCTGGATGGACAGCATTTGTAAGCAACTCTCTCCCCGGCCCAGTTAATAATTCAGGAGCCAGCGCCTGCAGCAACCCATCATTCCAACCCCGCTGCACCCTGAACGCCAAGCTAGTGGACAGGAAAGAAAAAATCACCATACCCACTTGAAAAATGGTCCTTGCTTCAAGTGCTTGCTGTGTCCCCCGTGCTGGGGTGGGAGAGAGCTGAGTTGAGACATAGCTGCTGGGCAGACAGTGAGAGAAAGCTGGAGCTGTGCCGAGGGTGCAGGCGTGCACACGGAACGGTGTTTAATTTTTGAATCCTGAGCCACATTTGTTTTTGGACAGTGGGATGTAGTTGCTGGAGTGCAGACCTTGGAGGACCCAGCTTTCTTCTTCTGATTCAGCTGTTTATCCTTCACTCACTGTCTCTACCATTCATTCATTCATTCATTCATTCATTTTGCAACCATTGTTGCCACTAATGAGCCAGGAACATTGATGATAAAGGAAGAGTAGGGGAGTGACACCTGTCAGGGAGGCAGACACATACAATGAGAGCTGCCATGCTTAAGGGGCTCGAAGCACAGCTGGCCGGGGGCTCTGCATGTGGGGGAGGCCTGTCGCCTGGGTATGCCATGGCCCTAAATGAGCAATTAATGGTTAAGATCATGGACTCTGGGGCCAGACTGCCTGAGTTCAAATCCCAGCCCCACCACACATGTACACAGAGTTGGCCTCTGTGTGCCTCAGTTTCCCCATGTATAAAACTGAGTTAATAATGGGAGACTGAGCAAACTACTCCTTATTGTTAAGACAATGAATAGAGACTTTGAGAGCGAAATGAAAAACCCAAACCCTGACAAAGACAAAGTGCTGGCAACTGTAAGTAAAGCTACTTTCAGAAAGTGACTTGGCAGGTTCTTACAATGTGGTATGCACTTACGTACCAGCCAGCAGTCCCACCTGTGGGTATTCACCCAAATGAAATGCTAAACTTATGTTCATACAGAAACCTGTACGTTAATGTTTATTACTCGCTTCGTAACCTCCTCGATTGGGAAACAACCCAAATGCCTCTCAACCAGAGAACTGATGAACTGTGGAACATTACTCAGCACTAAACAGACAATGTGGCTGTTTAAATGGCTAAGTGAAGGTGGCAGGCTTATAAGGCTCCTACGTACTGTGTGATTCCACGTGTGTGACATTCTGGAAAACCGTACGGACAGGAAACTGGTCAGCAGTGCTGGGATGGGAGGAAACTTATTTGGTATTCAGGGTGTGGTGGCAGATGCCTGAGATGGCAGATGTCTGACCATCATGTGCATGCTTGTCAAAAATCATAGAACCGTACGGAAAAAAGGGTAAATTTACTGCGTGTGAATTCCAACAGGTTTGAGGTGGTATATATCGAGGTTTTGAAGGAAGTAGCAGGAGTCCAGGGAAGGGAAATGTATTTAGGTCAGTTTGCTGTGTCAGACCCTTTGGACAGTAGGAGGATTCATAAGTTTTTAAGCAGTTAAGGAATATAGGTAGATTTTTGTGTCAGAAAGATCTCTGCGTTCTCTGTTCAGGAGCAGAAGCCTTTGAGTGTGTGGTCCTACCTTCAGAAATGTCCATTGACTCCTCCCTCTTTTTGAAAAGAATTAGAATCTGTAAAAAAAAAAAAAGAATTAGAATCTGTGACTAATATTGAAAAATCAGGAGATTTTACATAGAATTCTGGATTTCTGGCTTAGAATCTGTGACTAATATTGAAAAATCAGGAGATTTTACATAGAATTCTGGATTTCTGGCTTGTGTTTAGACAGGGTGCATGTTCTCCAGTGTGCCAGAGCTCTATACCTATGTCAGTTTAAGGCTCCAGGGGGCTAAAGGGCATTTGAGGGGGAATAGAGCAAGGGCAACGGTGCTTCCCAGCCCTGGCTACACATTGTCATCACCTGGGGAGTTTTAAACACTCTGATGCCCGGGCATCTGTATCTTGTAATTGTTCCCAAGGTGGTCCTGCTGTGCAGCTGGGGCTGGGAACCACTGGTCTGGGGGGCAGGGAAGATGACAGCCTGGATAGGGGGTCAGCAGTGGGGGAGGGGAGATGTTAGGGACTGATGGGACCAGGGGCTGAGGCAGGGGCAGGCTCCATTGTGACAAGGGTTCCTGCTTGAACAATGGAGGGGGATGATGCCGTTTGCTGACAAGGGATGCAGGAGGCAGCGGTCAGGGGAAGGTGGTGAGCTCGTTTTGGCTACGCTGTGTCCAAGGAATCTGTGGCCTCCAGGCTGAGGGCTCCAGCCTCCAGGCTGAGGGCTCCAGTGTGCAGTGCTCAGCTTTGCTGTGCCTACAGCTTTGCCTCTGTGCACCCTCTGCCCACCTCAGAGAAAGGAGAGCAGGGCAGCGATGGGGGTGTGAGGAGGTGAGGCAGCCCCCGAGCCTGCTGGGAGCTTCTCTGGTCTGCCTAGGTCATGAGTGCTCTGCTCCTGCTGAACGACTTGGCCTAGACGAGGAGGACACGTGGTGCTCTCCAACTGAGAGAGGTGGGTTGATGGCTGAAACCTATCGAACCATCTGCCGATCCATCCTGACTTCTAAGCAGATGCTATGGTTCTATTGCTTTTTGTGTTTTTTTTTTTGTTTTTGTTTTTTGTTTTTTTTTTTGGTCAAGAATACATTGTCCATGTTAGCAGTCCTGATCCTTGTGTGCCTGTGAGTGAAGCAAGGCAGAAACCACCATGTCCATTTTATAAACGAGGAAAGGGAAGGGTCTAAACATTTAGTACAGCATAGAAGGTACTTAATATACATTTTCACATAACCATCCTACCTATGCATGAAATAGGGGTTATTGTTCCCATTTTCTAGGTGAGGAAACCAAGCTCATAAATGTTGCCCCAGATCACCAGCTGGGAGGTAGCAAAGCTGGCAGCTAAGCCCTCCTCTCAACATAGTTCTTTGGTGTGTTTGCATTTCACCGCTGACTTGGCCGGGAACACACACACATACACACACTCACAGCCTCTCCAGACACCTTTTATTGTCTTTGGTGCCCCCTCTGCTTTCTTTCTGGAACCTAGTGGACGTTTTTGTTGACTGTTTCTGACTTCCAGTCCTCAGTGGACACCCTCACTCCCCAGGGTCTGTGTGGTCAGCCCCCAGGGAAGGGCTTCATTGTCCTGAGAAAGGGCAGACAGAGGCCTCAGTCTTCCCACCCAACTAGGACACGTTCGCTAAATGGTCCAGAGCTGACTCATCCCGGCCATTCTTGGCTGGGTTGGTTTCTGTCACCATTAAGGAGTGATCATGGCATTGTCTTGCCATAGGAAGCACTGTCCAACCGTCTCCACAAAGACGATCTCTGGCTTCCCTTCTTGTCTCTTCCTCCTCTGAGATGCACATAGAGATAGATAAGGGGCACTGGGGAGCGTTTGCTTCTGGGAAGTTTCTGGGCTGACGCTACCTGGAAACACTGCTCAAAATGAAAGGGAAAGCTCTCTTGGAGGATGCTCTTCAGGGTTGGGGTTCCCGGAACATAGCCGTCATGAGTGTCCTCTCCGAATGCTGCTGGCTCTTGTGGGCAGCACATCTGACCGAGCTTGACAGGGATCCAGCAACCCCAAGGCTGTGGTTCCCTGCGGTTGGTGCTTCCTTCAGCTGGCTCTCGACATGGACAGTTCCGGCTGTGGCTGGTGCTTGCTTCTTCGGAGCTGATCACGGTTGCTGTTGGTTTTAGATGGTGTTCATCGCTTAGCATGGTTTCTTCATGGGAGTTTCTAACTTCAGATGGTTCTAAATAGAGTTGGTTTGCTGCTGATCACAATTGTCCCCACCAATGAGTTTTGGCACCGGTGGTCCCACCTCGATGTTTCTCAATACAGATGGTTTTCAGATGGTTTTGTCATTGATGGTTTCTGTCAGGGATGGTTGGTCACTCGGGCTCACAATGGTATGGCCAAAGGAGGTTGACGCAGGTAGGCCTAGCATCGATGGCTCTTCATACAGATGTCCTCAACAGTGCTTCTCAGTAGAGATGGTTTCACCGTCGATTGCTGATTGTCAGTGTGGATGGTGCTCATCAATAGTTCTCGCTACACGGGACCCTGCTACAAATGAGGCTTCTCCATGGTTCCGAACTGTCAGTGTATACTTTTTTAAAGGCATTTGTATTGGCAATAACCACTCTGGGTGAAGTCTAGGTTGGCTGGGTCCTCACGTCTGTATTTTTCAAGAACCTGGTGGCCAATGGGCCTGCTCATAAAGGCATACACATCTGGGCAGGCTGCTCCCCCTTGGCAACCTGGTCGCCAGCTTTGACCTTGCCCCCAGCCTTGTCCTCCTGAGGACTGGTGTTACTTTGCACACCACTTTGCACATTGCCGTCCACTGGGATATTCTGGCAGCTGCTGGCCTGGCTGGTGGGAAGGCTGCTGATGGAGCTGAGCAGCCCACTACTCACCCGGTAGTTCAAGGCACTGCTGCCCAGGCTGATGAAGCTCATGCTGGTCAGGCTGCTGTCCCTGCTGCTGGGCAGGCTGGTCTCACTTTTCCCCTCCAGTCTGCTTGACGCTGTGGGCTTGGCTGGCAAGCTGGTTCCTTATCTGGCTGGGCGAGTAGAGAGCACACAGCTGGCTGGTTGGGGTGCTGCCGGCCTGGGTGAGGAGCCTTCTCTGCAACCTCAAGATTGGAGTGCTGCCCAACAGGCTGACCTCACTGTTCTCCTCATCCCCTGCATATCCGCTGCTCAACAGGCTGATGTCACTGTCATTGCATTTCCCCAAGCTGGACTGTTGCAGGCTCAGCAAGCCACTCTCACTGCTCCATGGGTTTCTTAGGCTACCCCCTGAAACTCTCAGGGGCTTCTGAGTTGCTCCTGTGTCATGGTGTGGCCAAGTGGGTGGCTGGGACTCTATGCTGGGGGGTGAGAGGCTTGGAGCTTGGCCCTGAGCATTCCAGGCAGCAGACTCCCCGTTTCTACCCTGGAGGAAGGTGGGGGGCAACTGATCTGGTTTATCCAGGGGGAGGAGGCCCTGGGAGGCCTGTGAGTGGTGTGTCTGGCTTATCTGGGGAGAGGAGGCTCAATTTATAGGGTGGCCTTTCAAAGGGGAGTGTTCTGATTGGCTGGCCCAGTTCCCATGGTGATGGGTTTATGAGGCGGGGTGGTGTGGGAGGGAGAACAATGCTGACCTGGCACCAGTTACATCAGTGGCTGGGGCTGGAGGTGGGCAGGAAGGGGCTTAGGGCCAGAGAGTGTGGCGAGAACCACCTTGCTGGGGACACTGCATGCAAGGCCTATGACCTCGGCTTTGTCATGTCAGGAGGCCTGGGTGTGCATCCCAGCTGAGCCCCTTCTGAGCTGTATTTCTTTAGGATGCCACTTCTTCTGAGTCTCTTGTTCCATGCTGAGAACTTTGGGACGACAGAGAGAATATGACAGTCAGGAGTTTATCCTATACTCCGTGCCAGACCTCCAAGGCCCTGGCTTGTCTGGCTTCTCTCTCAGCCTGGTCCCACATCACACCCTACTCCTTCCTCACCTCGATGGGGGTCACACTGGCTGTTTTCTTATTCTGAGCTCTGGCTGGCTGTAGGGCCTTTGCACTGGCTATTCCTACCACCTGGAATGCTCTTCCCTCAGCCCCTTGGCCTTCAAGTTTCACCTCAAGTGTCCCCCAGGAAGTGTCCCTGGCCTCTACAACAAGGTCCCTCTGTAATTTTTTTGTGTCACTTCCTAATTTATGTGCCTAGTGGCATCAAACACAGTTTGCAAGTCTTTTTTAGGTGTCGGTTACTTCCTGCCAGTTCCCTCTGCTAGATATCTTATTGAGGGCAAAGATTTTGATCTCTTATTGTCTGCTGTGACTCCGATGCCCAGCATACTGCCTGACACATAGTAGATGCTCATTAGACATTTGCTGAATGGATGAATGAATGAACTGCTCTGGGGTGTGCATCCCAACCACCTAGGGAACTTTTAAAAAACACGTTTGGATTTTCTAGGACCATGGTACTCTACCCTGGCTCTACATCAGGATGGCCTACAGAAGCCTGGGTCCCACTTACAGAGGTTCTGAGTTAATTGATCTGGGTGAGGCTTTGCACCAGAATTTTAAAACGCTCTCTAGGTGATTCCAATGTGTAGCCAGCACGGAGCACTACCGTGCCAGGAGGCTAGGCTCTGCCTGGTGTGCTTCTCGTTGGTGACTCTGTGTGCTACTCTGGCTAAGTAGCATTGTAGATGAGAACACCTGACAGGGTACTTATTAGTAGATGCTGAATAGATTTCTGCTGAATTACTGGATGAGTCAAAACAAAATTCATTGTCCCCTAAAGAGTTCATAGTTGGGTTTTAAGGGCTTGGGGAATTCATTGAAATTGTAAGCAGAATTTGTGATGAGCTACATATATGCTTTCCCACCAGGAAGGAGTCACAGCTTTTGTCAGATTCTTAAGGGTAGCCATGATCCGCAAAAGAGCAAAAAGCATAACAACTGAACTGTTGTCTTAACATTTGGGAGACAGCTGGCCCTGGTGCTTAGCCTGACTGTATAGGTCTAGAGAGGGCTGGCTGGCTCTGTTTGGGATGCAGTGTGTGGGGAGGAGGAAGGCCCTCCTTGGAGAGTGCGCCACTCAGCCCCTTGGCAGTCATCAGTGCGTCTGTGTTAATTATCACTGTCGTCTTTATTATGAATTCCTTTCCTGTTGCCTGGGGCCATTCAGCTTCCCTCTGCTGTACACGGAGGCATCTCTTTTGCTGTGGAAATCCTGATCCTTCTGGGAGATATGAGGGGCTTCTCACAGCTGCTAGGGGTCGGAAGGGAAGGGACAGACATGGTGGCTTAGCAGTGATGCCAGAAGAGGTGGTGTAGTGGGACTGAACTGTTGTGAGAAGCAGGGACCAGGTCTAGCTTTAGGGGGCTGGCAGGAGAGAGGCAGGGTTGGGCACCAGGCATGTAGGCTGAGGCTCAGGACTGGCTCTGCCCCTACATGAATACAAAGCAGGGCAGGTGCCCCAGTGCTGGGAATTAATGGGGAGTGTATTGTGACTCACTCCTGTCCCCATCCCACCTGCCCCAGTCACAGTGCACAGTGGGCCAGGGGAGTGGAGTGAACACCTGAGGGTTTGCGCCGAGACCAGAACCCCCACCCCTACTCTCTGGCTTATGTAACACCAGAGTCAGTAGTAGCCCATGGATATGGCCGGACTGTGTCAATAGCTGTGGCTTGACCCAACACTCTCCTTCTGGAAGTCTCTCTTGGTTACTTGTGAAGTCTTGGGAAGGCATATTAGGTGAGCTTTTCATTCTTGGGTCCAGTCCTCTCATTCCTATGTACACCTGAAGCCACCTGAGGGCAGTGCCCTTGTCCCTGTCCAGGCTAGGGGTCAGACCAGAGCTGACCTGCCCAGATGCTGTTTCAAGATACCCTCAGGGGGCAAGTGCTTGAGGGCCAAACAGAGCAGCACCCTTCTGAGTGCATGGTCCCAGAGCCTCAACACTCCCATGTCTGGGGAGAAGTGGGTTGGAGGGTGCTTCTCCACAAGGCCCTTTCTCTTTCTGTGGGCCAGGTATCAGCTACCTCTCTGATTTCTAGTCTTTCTTGCTGTTTGCCCCACCTCGAAACCTCTCCTGTGCCCACACACACATTCCAACCTCTTTCTCCAGATTCCCTTTCCCTCAAGACTTTCAGATACTTCATGCAGATGATGGGCCCACAGGACCCCAGCCTGCATCCCAGGCAAGGGTCAGACAGGAAACCTGGTGACAGACCCCGTGATCCATACATCCCAGAGACTGGCCCTTTCCTGATATGACAGACAATGCTCTGTGTTCAGCAAACCATCCCATTTCTCCTAGGCCTGTAGAAACACATGTCACACTTTTAGGCCTGAGATAGAAACACCTCATGTACATCTGCCTCTCTCTTCCTTTTCTTCTTCTTCTTTTTTTAAATTTATTCATGAGAGAGAAGAGAGAGAGAGAGACAGAGACAGAGACACAGGCAGAGGGAGAAGCAGGCTCCATGCAGGGAACCTGACATGGGACTTGATCCCAGGTCTCCAGGATCATGCCCTGGGCCGAAGGCAATGCCAAACTGCTGAGCCACTCGGGCTGCCCTCTCTTCCCTTTCTGCAGGGCCCTGGAAAGCCAAGCACCGAACATGGCGGGGCCTCCCAAAGGCTGGAGCCTGAGTCCCCGAGTAGCTGTGTGCATAGAGAACCCCTGCGCCCCACCAAGTGTATTTGTAATGTCAGTGGGCAAGAAGAGATGTCTGTGCTAAGCCACCAAGATGGGGGATTTGTTACCACAGCAGAGTGAGCTTTACACACCTATGTGCCACGTGCTCAGACACTGCCAATGCATTTCATTGGACTGAGCTTTATTTCTGAAGGTGTCTGCAGGGGCTTCTGGGCTGCCTTCCTGCCCCAGCATCTACCCTCAGCATCTCAGCATCCGTGTGCCCTGATGGGGATGAGAAAGAGCTTCAGTAGCCGAGAAATGCAACCCCCTTTATATTTATCCCTAATATTCCAGCAGAAGCCCTGGCTAAGTCAAGCATTAGTTCTGAGTATGACACACTGGGATGACTTCTAACTCAGATGTTTTTCTGGTTTTCATTCATTCATTCAACAAATATTTCCTGACATCCTGTTTCTCCTTCCCTTCCACCAATACTTGCTGAGTGCCTGCTCTGTGTCAGGCGGTGGGCGAGGCTCTGACCTCAGAGATGGGTAGACAGATGTAAACAAGTATCTGTTGTGTGATCATAAATGTGAGAAGGCAAATAGAGCAGGGGCACAAGGACAGAGATTGAGGGTGTGTGTGTACATGTGTGTGATGTACATGTCTTTATGTGCCTGTGACCATCCCGGGCCACTGTCCCTCAGGCAGAGCCAGCTGGCCCCAGGAGAAGAGGTCATAGAGGCAGCCATGGGGAGGCTGGGATCTGTGGCTCCAGTGAGTTGGAAGACAGTGGAGACTTTTCAGCATTGATAGGTGAACTGGAGTTTGAACAGGCTGCTGTGGTGGGGGGGTAGTTGGGACAGGCATGGTGCGTCTGAGAGCTAGTCAGGCTATAGCACAGGAGTCCCAGGAACGACAGGAAGGGCCCAGACCAGAGCAGTAGGAGAGCTGAGCAGCAGTGCTGGGATCTGGGGTGTATTTGAAAGGCAAGTCTCAGGGCTCACTGAGGGATGGGATGTGGGGGTTAGAGGAAGAGCAGAGTCAAGGCCAGGTGTGGAGTCCAGGAGCCTCTGGGTTAGGGGCAAGATGGTTTTCTAGAAACAGCTCAGCTTCCTTCTGAAGCACATGGAGTGATGTGTAGCTTGGTAATGACCCAGACAGGGGCAGAGCCTCATGACTTAGAAGTCAGATGAACATGAGCTTGAGTCTCAGCTTCCCCACTTTAGAGTCATGCTTAAAGATGTCCCAGATGAATGGTGAAGGTTACATCCTCCACAAACATGAACTGAGAGGAAATAAATGCAAAGTGCCCTGTGAGACCCTCCAGAGACAGCCAGGAAGGGGTCCCTGGTAGACCCCACAGTCAAGTGTGGGTTGGGGCCACAGGCCCCTGGGGCAGGGAGTGGATGGGAGGGTAGCCTGGACAGGACTCTGTGAATAGCAGAACATCCCTCTCCATCTTGAGGCTCTGGCATCCTGCAGATCACATCCCGTGTCCTCCATCTGTGGCATCCTGTGGCCAACCTAACCTCTCTGAACCCCAGCTTCCTGGCCTGGGAAATGGAACAACACTGGTTAAAGCACCCCCGGAGGGACGCTCTGAGGACAGCAAGCACCTGGACAGGGTCTGCCCAGAGCTTCCAGCACATATCGCTGCTGCCCAGCAGTCATGGAACCTTCTACTTCAAGATGGAATATAGGTGTTGGTGTGAAAAAATACACAAATGCATACACAAGTATATATAAACACATATATGAATATATATGTAAGTACGTATGTATATGTGTGCAAGTACATTCACAGTATATGTGTTTATATATGAATACATAGGAATATGTGTAGATGAATTCATAATATATACCTGTATGCATATATACAT